TAACTGAGGTTACTAAGGCTGTCAGTAGTCTGAAACGAGGCAAGCAGCAGGACCTGATGGAATGTCTCCGGAGCTGTTTAAATAAGGTGGAAACAGTTTTCTGTTTGCGTTAACTAAGGTACTAGGTAGCGTCTGGGAATCAGAGGTGTAAGTGATTGATTATCCCGATATACAAGAAGGGAGACAAGTCTTCCTGTGATAATCACAGAAGGATTAGCTTGACTATTATGGTATCTAAAGTTCTAGTCTCAATAATAATGTGTAGACTAAGTGATCCACAGGAGGAACAATCACGAGAGAACCAGGCAGGCTTTAGACCAAGAAGAGGGTGTATTGATCATTTCTTCACCCTCCGACAGATTCTGGAACATAGGCATTCTTACCGGCCCCCAACAATCGACATATTTCTTGACCTAAAGGCGGCATTCGATTCTGTCAATCGAGAGATACTCTGGCGATGTTTGGCTGTGAAAGGAATTCCGAGAAAATACATTGCACTGATTAAGGCACTCTACTCGAAATCATGCAGCCAGGTGATAGCTTATGGTGAGTTGTCATCTGAACCGGTGACAACTAGTGGTTTCCGGCAGAAATGCTCACTATCCCCATTTCTATTCCATTTCATCATAGATGTACTAATGGACTTAACCCTAACTCACTTCAGAGATTGACTTGTTACCAGGGAGTAATCTCGTTGACTCAGAGTATGCACATGATATAGGCCTCCGTGCTAGGTGAAGACGATTATAAAATGCAGTCTTCTGAACACCTTGAGGGGCAGCAATTTTCGAATATTTGGTATGCGATTGGCTCCCGCCAAATGTGAGATGATGCTACAGAACTGGACTATACTGACTCCTAGCTTAGAAATAGGGAGTGAAGTGGTAGAGCGTGTTGACCACTTCAACCAGTCAGTCACCCCAGCACTCAATACTATCCCTTCAGCTACAAGTCCTCTCGAACTACCTAAAGATTTCATGACACTCGTAGGGAAAATTTTTAAAATTCTACTCGTTAGCTATCTGGGTTTGAGTGAATAATCACTCTTGGGTGTTGTATGCGTGTCTCCGGAACATAACATACATGTGTGGCTCGAGATGAGGCCTACTTTGGATACGGCAAGGGGTCCTAACTTTGAAGACTCTCATATTAAGTTTACAGCGCGATTTTAAAAGGCTTTCAGTGGTGATTTTGCTGCTCTGGTTGCTATTAGTGGTCTTAGAGTTGAGAGCAGGTGAGCGACGTAACTGTAGAATCGTGTTAAGAGTGGGAAGAAAGAGAGAAGGTGGTGGTGGAGATGAAGGTGGGTGTTGGTGGTTAATACTTTTGAACCGCGCACACCATGAACGTTGATTTCTCGTTGAGATGACTGAGACAGAAGGAGTATTATTGCTGTGTGACTGCAGAGCCAGAGCTCGAGAGACAACTGTTTGAGGCTGACCACACATGGCCTGTTTAATTTGGTTTTCTGAGATGTTCTCGTGTGAAGAGTTTTCTCCTGGCTGCGTATGATTGCACAGAACTATTTTCGGAGTGGATGTTTTGTACACAGTTTGCAGAGCTAAGCAGCAACATTGGTGGTTTGCTGTTCATCCGAGAGAAACACCTTACTTCTCGTACATTCCTATTCGCCAGCAGTCTGATGTCCTCCTGAGACCCCATACACAGGACAGGCAACTTGGAAACGAATTCCTATATTCTTAATTCCATTCTTATTGTGGATTGCTCTCTGAGTCTAAATTTCTCATGATAAAAATAGTAGTAATAACGTCACCACGAAGTTGATTGCATCGTTGATATCAGTAACCCTTCTATACGTTAAAACGGTCAGGTAGAAATGAATTCTACTTGAGTCTCAAGAAACCTGGTGAAAATATATCCTTGGTGTATAAGGCGATGGCATGTAGCCAACTGTTATGACTTCGAATGTATCAGACATCAAGAGGCTAATGCATGTCATATGGTGACCAGTAAATACTTCGTAATACTCAATATAAGTTGTGCCACAAATCACACGCCCTGGTAGCTGTATATAAGTGTGGTAAATAGTTCATCTGATACTCAGCAGATAACGGATAGAATGCGGGATGAATCAGTCAAGTCCTTGCCTCTGTTGAGAAAAAAGTCAGAAAATCCAGATTTAGTCGATTTCCTTATTATCCAGCCAAGTCTTCCTCAGTTATATTTCACAAGCAAACATTAAATAGTTGATGGTAAGGTGGGATAGGTTGATACAGGTGCTAAGGGATGCAGGATTCTAAAGGTAGTTTTATGCTATGCAGCGCGATGTCAGCAAATCTACTTTATACACTTATTTCCCTTTATGAATAAACCAAGAACACCATTTTGCTCAGAATAACATCGTTTATCTCGTCGGCTTCTCATCTGCTGCCTACAGCCTAAAGTCCGTATACAGAACAATTTTTACATACTCGCCCTTGTTACTTGATGTCAGTCGACAGGAGACTGCAAAATTAATAAACAGTGCTCAGAAAATTACACTTATATAGTTCATATACAGAGAGTTCAAGTTTAAACAAAAAATAAATCCTTCAAGACTGGCCAATCTTACACGGTCTGTAGGTTTTAGAATATACAATGAAATGATTGGATGGTTGACCGTTTTGTAAAGCTTTTTCCTACACTAATGGATTGATTGCTAACAAACTGTCAGCATAGATACAACAAATGTTCGTTTGTCTTACTTCAACTGCTCTCGCAGACTATTAGGTAAGAAAGAAATTCAATCAATGCAGTTGTGAAGCTTCATCAACTAAGACGACTAGGATATACACACTAAGCCCACCTCTTTCCTTGTTTAGCAATATCAGGTGAAGTAGAATTGAGGCTGGAGAATTTATAATTGGTCATATTGAAAACATGGTACCAGTCTGCAGAGTTCTTGACTATTTGTGTTAATCATTATCTGACCAGGATCCTGCGGATACTAAGAACCAGTGACTGGAGACTGTTGATGAAATGGCCCAAGATCGTTCACAATAGCACAGATGTATTCTCTCACTGTCATATTTTAGATTCTAAAGACCTTCTTCGTTTAATCTTCTAATACTACAGTTTCATAAAGTCTATTTCGTCTGTTTTTATGTATACTTCCGCGAAGTGTATGAGCTTGCACCGACGCACTTTTGTATAAAGTTCTGTGTTAAAAATGCCGGTTAGCTGCTGTGCAAAAGTACTGTTTGATACATAAAGTGTTATAGGCAGGTAGACATTATGAATTTGAATCACGATGCCTCATATCCCCACATAAAGTGGTTAACTTAAATTTTAAATATACACTCAGTGGTCATAAGATACCAACAAGGAAAAGGTAGTAAAACTAAAAAGTTGGGTATTTTTCAACTGAATTTGCCCCAATGTAGCTATTTATATTCGAAGTATCGCGTTCAGGCATTCTGTGTTGTCGAAAGTAATAACCCAGTGGTTGGTGTCGCATATTATTCGGACATTGAGCACTAGATTGAAGTAAACTGGTGGACGGTGACTATCAGTGGAATCCAGGATGCACATTTTGCCACTGTTTAGGACTCGTCATCCGCATATACCTGCACTCCCCAGTCAGTGAGTGATGGTGTTCCCACTAAGGCTCGAACCCAGTACCCATAGTTCCAAAAGCCAAAGCGTTATCCACTAGATCACTTGGGATACGAGAGCCACCTCTTTCTTGTGCAGTGGGTGTATCAGTAATTATTTCATTCAATTTGCACCTTCCCGTTGGTTGGTTGGTTGGACCGAATGCAGGTGCATCCGGATGACAAGTCCCCAGTAGGATGAAACGCACATCGTGGATTCCACTGCTAGTTGCCATCCACTGATTTACTCCAAGTTAAATAATCAGACATCGTCGAAGCCCGCTGCACAAGGAGCCGACATGTCAACCTGAGGCCGAGCACTTCGGTCCAATCAATCAACGGGAAAGTGGGAATTCAATTAAATGAGCATTAATATCCAGCTTTTTCGATTTCAGTTCCATCACCATCTTAAGTAGCAAAATCTTGAGTTGTTTTTTGAATTCACTGAGTAACTAACTGACTAACTGGTGTCCAATCAAAAGTACCCAATACAGTCCTACAGGAGATCAATCGCGAGCCTGAATATCTCAGTGGTAACGTCTTTGACTGCAGGCGGCACTGGGTGACGCAAATTTGAATCTGAGAAGGGACATGAGTTCCTTCAGGATTGCGGATATGCCTTGCCGACGAGTGCCAACTAGCACGAAGCCTAGGTCAGACAAGGCTTCCTGCCGATTGCCTCTAACCATCTAATTCTACCTTTGCTGAATATTTATAACATTTTCGTTAGCATAGAATGTGGTCTTTTTCTGTCAGTGTATGAGGTTGAGTAGACGACATATTATGATTGTAAATATTCACCAACATCATTGTACCCATCAATTTTCAATGTTTATAAATTCCAACTTATGAGGATGGGTGTCGATGCGTTACAAGTAGTATTCGTAAAGGCGGTCAACCAGTTATCCATCAGTTTGTTAGAGACTGATCTAACACAGGAAATTAATAATTCAGTCTTAGTCCCAATGCCTACATATAGACTAAATAATCATCTGAAAAATATAAATACAAGCAGTTTGTTTTTAGCCCCTGAATCTCGACATTTTGCTTTTGTTTCTCATGCTGTGGTATTCTTTTTTTTATTCCTTCACGTTCCCAGTGGATCACAGGGCTTCAAGCTAGAGGCTTGAAGTTTCTGTAGCAGTGTAATTTTTTTTACAGGATGGGGTTGCTAGCCTCATGCCCAACCTTTCCTCTTTACCAGTTTGTGTTGCTGGCTTAGCAAGGTAAAGGAGTGCGTCGTCGGCTGGGGATCGAACCCCGGACCATGTGCTTGGTCGGTGAGCGTCCTAACCGCTGTGCCATCGACGCACGCTGTGATATTCATACAACATTAATTTTTCCTTATAAATTGTTGTTTATTTATTCTCAATTTCACTGTGATTTATGTTTTTGTATATTTATCAGATGATCGATGAATACTTGGATAGAAATTCTCCGTCCATTGAACAATTTCATGAACTTTTACAGCCGTATAAGACAGAGTTTGGCGCTATTCTACTCAGAGATTATCATGAGTTGCTAAAGAAGTATGAAATAGCTGAAATGCTTTCGGAGGATTTTAAATTCTCTACAAGTTATTTATTACACTATGCCTGGGAGAAGTTGCATACAGGTCATTGGAAAAATGTTAACATTTGTTGGCGTGTTTTATACGCTTCAATTAAATTGTTAACTGTCTTGTATAGTTTACGTAAGAGTATTAATGAAAATAAAACACAGTGTAACAGTTACAATTATTGTCATATACAATACACAGAATTGATTTGTGAACTGGACTATAGTCTAATTATGGGTTATTCAATTTTTGACAGTTTTGCTGCAAAATTAGCCACTGAACTGCACAAATGCATAACACTGAGATCTCAAGAATCAGTAGTTTGCAGTGAGGACAAATATTCCGACGATACTTTTCAGTTGGACAAGGATAACTTCGAAATGGAAATATTGAATGAAACAATGACAAATATGAATATGAATAAATTAGCTCGTGTTAGCTGTCCAAGCTTGGAGATGTTTAATAATTTAATGAAATTAGGCCGACCATTTATTATTACAAATGCAATCAATTTTTGGCCAGCTTATCATCAACACAACTGGACACTGAAATATTGGAAAGATAATTTTGGTCATCGTCTTGTACCTGTTGAAATCGGTTCAAAGTATACTGAAGAGAACTGGGGACAAAAGTTGATGACAATCAATGATTTTATTAATAATTATTTTACATCAAATAATGAAAAGCAAACAAATATAATGAAAGGTTATCTAGCACAATATGAAATATTTTCACAAATTCCTGAACTAGAAAGTGATATACACATACCGGATTATTGTACACTGACTGGGGATGCGTTCGACGATGATACAAACAATGCTAATGCTGTGTGTGTTGATGATATTCACATTGACACTAATATTTGGTTTGGTCCAAAAGGTACAGTTTCTCCGTTACATCATGACAATGATCGAGCTAATTTGTTAAGTCAAGTTAAAGGTTTCAAATATGTTGTATTGTATGAAGCTTCACAGACAGTTTATTTGTATGCCTATGATGACAATATGCTTAGTAATACATCAAAAGTAGATATAGAAAAGCCTGATTTAAATAAATATCCTGAATTTGTTAAAGCTTCTGGTTTCTATGGAATTCTTGGTCCTGGTGAAATGTTGTATATCCCACCACGTTGTTGGCATTATGTTCGTTCGTTGTCGGCTAGTTTTTCTGTAAATTTCTGGTGGGATGTTGTACCATCACTGATACCTCCGTGGCAATAAGGGTTGTTGTGTGTGTGTGTGTGTTTGTCAACCTCATGTATTTTTAAATTTGTGTAAATAAATTTTGCTTATCATAGTCTTTGTCTTAAGTAGGAGTTGTATTGTGTTATCCCTCCTTCGATTGTTATGGGACAGAATTCGAATTTGGAAGTTATAATTCACCGACCATTGTATACTTACCCCAGTGGCTGAATGTTGACGTAACCTGAAGATCCTTAGTGTTTGGTTTCTAATTCTGATGAATTCTAACTCCTGCTAATTCGTTGCACAGCGTTGCCGCCAACCATTGCCAATATAAGCATCCACTGCATACGCAAAATGGTGGACCCCAGGGGCGATGACTTCTAATAAGGATTTCATGACGTTTACTCTGAAGCCAGTCATTAATGAACACAAAGTTAATATAGGACTACCGTTTTGCGTAAAGTCTAAAATGCCACTAGTAAGTAATCTTAAGTTAGTGAGGTCAGTAAGCTCCGATACTGTGTCATGAAAACTAAGCTAGTTCAACCAAAAGTTTTGTTAGAGTTAGCAGATTAAATATATATTTTTTTCGTTATTTTAATCCAGTGACTGATGCAGTCTTCAAGGAAAAAGTCCTCTGTGATGATCGCAGACAAACTAGTCTTATGAATGTAATAATTAAAATGATTGGTGTCGGCAATCATACTGTATTTCTCTATTCAATGTAAATTTTTGACTTACATTAATCAAAAGGTCCTAGAGCATTGCTTCTCATTGAAACGGAGATGCCTGCTAAATCCAACTTTGTACCGAACATTCAACGCTCAAAACTTCTGATTATATTAGAGCTGATAGTGAATTATCACGTGCTGCCTACGTTCAGTTATTATTATTATTATCATTCACTTGGGTTCCGAGTGGAACATAGGGCTTCAACAATACGTCGCCACTTTGTTCGACATGGTGCTGTCCTTTTCAGCTACGTCCACGATTAGCCATAATCTCTCATGTCCTCCGATTCGCGCGGTCTCCTTCATTTCACCCTCGCACTGATGACCCACTCGTCGCTTCCCATTGGGATTCCACTGGAGCCATAGTCTGGCGCAGCATGTCATTCAACGGCCTCCTCAGTGGCGTATGCCCGAACCATCTCCATTTTCCCTTACATATTTGTTGAGTGGTTGGTTTGTTCCCAACCAGAGTTTGTTCCTGCCAATTCATTCTGGCCGACCGACCGGCCATTTGATCTTGAGTATGCAGCCAGCCAGCTAGCCAGCGAAGGTAGCAGCTGTTGATAAAAGTCTACAGTGGCGTGTTGGAAATCCATTCCATTACACTCAGTGCAAGTTTCTCCCCCGTATGGAAGAATTGACTGACTGACTTCATTGAAATTTGTGTTGAAAATCCGAATCTTGTTCTTCATACTGAAGTGGAGTGCAGAAGCTTTCCAAACTGGTTTCAGGTTGATGAAGGCGTGCGTATCTTGCCTTTCTGATTCTGACTGGCTGGTTGGCTGGCTGACTTTGACATCTTCATCCGTCCGGCTGACTGTGGTTGAAACGATGCTTCCTGGCTGGATAAGTGAAGGATGTAGCCTCATTCATATCTTTTCCGTTGATGGTGACTGGTGCTGGTTGTTGTCTTCGTTGCTGTTGGTTGATTGGTTATCTTCATCACCTCCGTCTTCTCTGTGTTCACCTGGATGGCGTCCTGTTTTCGCTGCCTGTCTGCTTCTTAAGTCAGTTTGTTGGTTTTCGCCTGCCTGCAAGTCTTCGAGTTTGTGTGAAATTAAACATGAATCACCTATGCGCGGAATCCAGATCTTGTAGCGTTTTCCTAACGACGGTCCAGCGTATTCCTGTCTCCTCACTCCCAACGCACAGTCTGACGCATGATCTGGTCCACCACAATTAAGAATATCATCGGTGATATTAGACAGCCAGCCAGCTTGTCTTACTCCTGAGTTCACTTCGAACGCCTCACTGAGTGAGTTTACGATTGTGGGTCACCTGACTGACACATGACAGGCATTGTCATATAGCCATCTGTTGGATGAGGTTGATAAAGACTGGGCACTACACGCCATAGTGTTGAAGTAGTTTCCAAGTTACTTCTCAGTCAACGATGTGCTGTCTGGTGAAGGCGTTTTCGAAGTGGACGAAGGAAGTTGAGGTAGAGAAAGGTTGGACTGGCATTCTATGCTTTGATGTGTGATGACGATGCGTAGAATTGAAATTCGATCAGCACATGATTTGCCTTTCCTGAATCCAGCCAGCTTGTTCGAGTGGTGCTGGTGGAGTTCTGTATCCAGTGCATCCTCTATTCTCTCCAGGATGATGTGACTTAATATTTTACTTGGCGTGACGAAGAGCATTGTTACACGTCAGTCAGTTCTCGCGGAGGGAAGCGTAAGTCGCCCTTCTATGTTAGCTTGACGAGGTAGCCAGCCTTTCTTCCAATCGGTAGACGCCTTTCCCTCCTTCCAAACATTTCGCAATAATGGCGTGAGCACATCTACCATAGTCTCTGGATCCGTTATCAGTGCCTCGGAGGGGTGGGGGAGAGAAATCCGTCTGGCCCTGCTGCCTTCATGGACTCCAGTAGCTTGGTCACATTCAGGATTTCTGCTTCTGTTGGAGGATTGGTGTCCACTGGCAGTCAGTTCTGTGCGTGCTTATGTTCAGTTATATCAAACTTTATTATAAATACGCTTATGTATGTCTGTGTCTCTTCATTCAGTTGTATAGAATAATTTACTAGAGATTCATTAAGTAGCTAAGAAGTTACAACACAAGTACTTTTGACAGCAAGAGAGTCTGTAAACAATCGTCCTCTTTTTTTTTCTGATAAAACTTTAGCTCTCTAACTTCATAGAGATGACAGAGTTCCCTTCACAGTTAGATTGCAAACCCGAAATTTAAGAGCTTTACTAGTATTATGATGTCGTTACAGGTAACCCATACTGGAATATGATGCAACTTTTGTATAGGTCTGAAAATTCTATCCATCAGTAGCAGTCAGATTTCCTTGATCCACGAGTCTCTTAAATTAATGCGAGTGTTAAGAAAAACGACAGTCGTCGGCCTGTTACAAGCATGACGGTGTTCAGACAGATGCAAGAGGGTAAATCCGGTGTTTGGGCGTTTCACAGTTGTAAAATGCAAGAGCAGAAAATATGCCTGATGTGATAGGTAACAGACTGAACACTGTGACAACTCACATGCATTATATGAACCTTCCTGGAGATTGGCACAATTATGACCTGATTCCACAGTGACAGAATACTCTCAGTCTACTTGAACTTTCCTGTCTGGTTTCACGACTGGTCACAAGTTTTCATTTCATATGATCCCCCTACCACCCTCGGACGTCCAAATGATGGCTTCTTGTTCGAGTTCCACTCGACGGCTTATCGTGTAGTGTAACTCAATGGTCTCCTCAGCGCATATCCAATCCTCCCCTTTCCGTTTTACATTTTTGTTGGGTATAGATTGTTGGGTTGTTCGCTGCTATTGTACCGCGTCACTTACCCTTTCCAACTGTTCATTTGATCTTATCTTCAGTACCGAGTGAAGGCAGTTGCTGACTAGTTTGCAATAGCCCGTTTGGAATGCTTTCGATGTCACGCGTGACAAGTCTCTGAACCACATAGAAGAACTGACTTCACATCAGTGTTGAATATTCAGATCATGTCCCTTATGTCGAGTTCTGCAGGACTTCACACTAATTTTAGTTAGAGTAATGACCGCCTATCTTGCTTTCCTTACTTATCCTGTCTCGCTTTGAAAACACCATCTGTCCCGCCTTTGGTTGAAGCAATTTGTACCAGTGATGGTGACTGCTGCTTGTTGTTGGTTGTTGGGTATCTTTTTTTTAATTATAACTTGATTCCATGCCGTATTTTTGGTACAAGTATGGAATTTTCAGCATGTGATATCAGTAGCCCAATTTTGCAGGCCGACCATTGATACCAGGTGTGCGTCGGCAGGGGATCGATCCCGGACCATATGGTCGACGAGAGTCCTAACCGCTGTGCCAGCGACGCACTGATCAACCCTACCCGCCAAATGTTTACTTGAAGTCCTATCTTCTCTGTCTCTTCTGCCAAAATGTTGGTTTTTGCTCTTAGTGATACATGAGTCACTTGCGAAGTCTAGAACTTCTAGACTCTTTTTGTTTATCCTACGTAATCTCGTCTTCGGACCCGCTATGCATGGTGTGAGGCATAATCCACTCCACTACAATTAAGAAGAATTTGCTTCTTTCCAGACTTTTAGTAAATTTGTGGTCTTGAAGTTGTAAGTACTGGTTGGTCCGAGAGTCCTCTGAAGTGTTCAGCATAATGTTTTCTCCTTTCCATGTCTTCAGTGGTTAGTTTCGTTCCACCATCTCCCACTGGCTTCATCGGTGTTGTTTGCTTCGGGGATAGAGATGTGGCTATGTGAAACAGTGTTGTGAAGTATTTCTCACCTACAGCCTGTTCATCCCCAGTTGACAGTATGTCGTAAAAGTATTTTTTGACTTTTTTTTCCAGCTTTTTTCGACACTTCTTTGTTCATCGGTCCGTTGGTTGTAGTCAGCTTTTCCTCTCCTTGTTCATATCTACACTAGTTCATATTCTGTTTTACCATCCATCTCTTCTCTATCAGCTCATAGAGAACTTTTCATTCAATTATCTCTTCTTATCTAAGATGCCTTAGAGGTTTCGTTCCATGTCGCTTCAAATAGTTCCACTCATGTTTCTCCGTCGATGTTAGATAATGCCTCCGACTTCTTCTGGGTGACTGCAATGAATGTGTTATTTGTGGCTTCATCCTTCACTTTCTAAGTGTCGAACTTCAATTGTGGTCTATATCTAGCCTTTTTGTAGGCTTCTAGCTTGGTATCGAAGGTCCCTTACATGAAATTGTGATCCGAATCTTCATTGTTTCTTCATTTCGATCTTTTTTCAAATAGGCTGCGTATCCACACCCTTAAGACTGAAATATAATCTGTCTGATTGTTAGTGTGTCCATCTGGTGAAACTCTTGTAGCCTTGTGTATATTCTTGTGTTCGTACGTGCCGCCTCCGATCACCGAATCATTGAAGGCGCAGAAGTCTGCAAACAGCTCTCCGTTCTCATGCATTTTGATGAGCGACAGCCTCTCGACACATAAGTTCCCTTTCTGTGTTATCTGCTCCAGTCTAGCTTGCATTCGTATCACCCATTAGAATTTAGATGCCCCTATTTGTCTTGGCTCTCGTCTGTTACTGTTTGCAGTTGTCTGTTGATGTTCTCCTTCTCCAGTGGGTTTGATTTTGTAGGATCATAGCATTGTATAATTGTCACTTTTCTTCGTTTTAAGTTGAATCTTGCTGTTATGATCTTGGAGGTGATTGGTTGCCGCAGCATGAGACTTCCATACTGTCGACGAAGTCATGTTACTCACTCCCTCACTGTGCTGGGGTCGTGGATGTGGCTGGAGTAGCTTATTGGCTCTCCAGTTAACAGTGTGAATTCCGTCTGCTACCATAGATTCCTAACATTTTTATGCAGTATCTTCTCATTTCTTGTACAGTTTTAGCAACCTCACGAGCCAATCTGAAACACGGTGCAGACATTCCATATCTAAATGTTTACTTCATCAATCAACTAGCTTATCGAAGGCTTTCACCAACTTGCGTCACTATTCCTCCTCGACTCCGTTGGTGAATAATTTTATCGTGTGCATGTTTCGAAATTTCACTAACGATGGGTTTTTTACCTGGTAAGTTGACTGGCCCCACACCCAGCTTTCTCTCTTTTTCCAGGGTTATGACCACTGTAGACGGGGTGAACCGTTTCTCAATGTGCTTAACTCACAGTTCCAGGCGGCGTTGAATGCTGTTTATGCTGTCTGCTTTGTTGATCACAGATCTAGGTCTCAGGTGTTATAGGAAGAAGTGAATGTTAGTTACACCTAGAAATTGTTCTTCTTGGGTTTCCTTATAATAATAATAGTGGTAATAATAATGACAATAGTAATAGCTTTATCACAGACAATCTAATCTGGAGGAAAACAAGAATCTTAAATGAACGGAAATGCTTGGAAAGCAGAACAATCATATGGAGAATAACCAGAGTGTAATGGGTCTTGGTGATCACAGCGTGAGTGCATCTGCCCAAACCCTATCACCAGCAGTTTCAAGCTATTGCTTCTTAGCATTCTGACGATCTACAGAGTCAGAGATAAGAAGCTACAATACTGACAGGTCCACGAGCACTTCGTACGGTATGGTAATTTCCTCTCAATAACTTTCAACTAGCAAAATGTGTCTTGAGATTTGAAGGCAAGAAGTTATCACTACACACAATTAGTTCCTTTTTAGAAATATTTGTAAAGCAGAAGCCATGGATGATTTAGGATAAAATGAATAGCGTTCGTTGTACATGCTTTAGGAAAAATCATCTTTGCTGAATAGGTTTCACTTTCTTGTCAGTTGTATTTTAATTTCGAAGGAAATACAGTTTGAATACAATATATATATATATATATATATATATATATATATATATATATATATATAATTTAGCTACTACTGTCAGCAGTGTGGAAAAAGAACATACACGTTAATTTGTCAATCTAAGTGGCTAAATTTAAAGAATAAGCTTATTGGCTGACAAAAGAATGACTGTGAGCATTAATTTATCTCTTTTGGATATGTATAGTGCATGCATTAACTTGTTAGGGATACAATGAATTCTCAGGGGGGTGGAATTCGTGACCAGTAGGGTGCAGCAGGTCGGGTGTGAGGACAAATACTCACCGAAGACATTGGCTAGGGGTCGCGCTATGTCGTGAATTGGCAGAAGTTAGAATTCATGGACCATTGGATCGGGTCCCAGTGGCTTAATGGTATACGAGCTCGCCTTGTAACCAGAAGGTCGTGGGTTCGAATCCCGGTGGGTGCGTACTGATGAAGAGTCCCAAACTAGGACGAAACAGCTACCCAGTACTCCCAGGTGGTTTTCCAGTGGTTCTCTAACCAATGTCAGCTCATGATGAAATGCTGTAACCAATCAACCAAATCCCTACAAACCAATACTTGAATATTTTTAAAAGTGTTGTGTTTCATTTGGATTATTTTGTCGTCATTGGAATATTCCGATGACATACATGTATGTCAGTTAACAATCAGCCAATATAACAGTTTGCCAAGTACCTATATTCCCATCTTCATATCTCTCATTTTCTGTCTTCTTTCAGTTGAGTGAATTGTCTCAGTATGAAATTAATGTACTGAATTGTGTGTACTAAATTTGGTGTGCTTCAGGTTCACTTCATCTTTTCACCGGGTGTTATAAATGCCACAAGTATTCACATCTCCCCCTTTGTAATGGATTTTGAGGTATGTTCCTAGAGATTACAATACTTTGATCCATAGCATTTTCTGTAACTTTGATCAAGTAACTTATAACTGTGGCTTTAGGCATGATCGATTGGACTACCTTAGACTTTGTATGACTTGGAGCCATTCCATCTGGTAATGCATAACATATCTTCGAGGCAGAGATATTTTCTGTTGTAGTGACAAGTCGTTTAACGACAAGCCACCGGAACACCGTGCATGAGGAGCAAGAAGTGACGAATACATTGGACAGGTGAGGAAACTGTAGAAGATCTGAACTTTGCGGACTATTTGTGTCTAATGTTACATAAACTCGGAGATTTACAGGCGAAAACCAACAAGTTGGCAGAAGAAGCACCAAAAACATCACTGCAAGTGAACATAGAGAAAGCGGAGCTAATGAAGATAGCTATCCAGCAGCAGCAACAACAACAACAACAAGCACCAATCATTATAAACGCGAGGAATTTGAAAGATGGCACTTGCTTCTCTATCTAGGCAACATCGTTTCAAATACAGGCACGCCGCAGCGATAAGAATGTCGAAAGCAGAATTAGAAAGGCAAGTCAGACCCTCACTACTCTGAAATCAATTTGAAAATCTTTCGCACTCAACACAAAGAACAAGGTTCGAATCTTCAACACCAGTGTTACGTAATTTCTTCTGTGTGTCTCAGGAACTTGGCGCGCTTCACACTAAGCATCTCCAGCGGGCTAATGCAGTCTTTCATCGACAACTGACTTTGCTGGCTCCATACTGAAGATCAGATGGCCAGGAAGAATCGTCGACAAGAAATTCTGGGAACGACGCAACCAAGAACATATTGCTCAACAAACATGCCAAAGAAAATGCAGGTGGATTGGATACACACTGAGGAGACCGTCGAGTGACATCCCGTGACAAGCATACCCTTGAGTAGAACCTAAATGGGGAGCGACGACTTGGGCGTTGGCCCTAAGATGACATAATAATAGTAATTTGCTTTATTCCAAAACAGTACATGTGATACAGAATGGAATTCTCAGCATTTTTCACTACAGTATTGCATCCAGTTAGTACATAATCAATAAATAGAATTCTACATAGACTAAGGAAATCACAGTACATTATTACAACAACACATTGGTATGTCGGTAGCAAAGGAAAAGCTGAAACAGTGTTTGAAGGTGTTAGAAAAGTGGGAGCTGTCATATTTACTGGTGTTAGCGAGAGAAAGAAACAAAGAAGCACATAACGGAAAAAGAGAGAGAGAGAGAAAGGGAAAAGAAAGAAAGAAAATGTTGTACCTATAAATGATTTGAGTTGGAAAGACGAGATCCAGTTGTACTACTGACTATTTAATGAATTATAGGTGTTACGCCTAATGCTTTCTTTATCACACAGAACACGAGCTAAGTAGGGTATGGTTGAGTTTTTGTACTTGCTGGTGCGAGCATATAGTTTTCTATATTGGCTTCTGGTTTCACCTGATGAGATGCAAGGGGAGAGTTGTGAATGAAGAGGGTGGTGTGAGTTAGATAAAATGGACTTAGCCCATTTTCCACATGAGTCCATGTGCCTGTCGACCAGAATATTAACAAGCTGGCTAAGTGGTACGTTGCTTACCCTGATGACAACCTTTAACATCCTGCGTAATATGTTATAGTCTTTCTTCAGTAGCCCGGGAAAAACTAAGTGGGGACAATAGAGAATAATAAATCAGAATGCAAGAGTTAACGAATTGTAGGAGTAAGGGTTGGGTTATACCAGAATGTTTTAACTTCTTAATGTAGAAGGTAAGACGGAACTTTTTCTTAGAAATCGCTAAGATATGAGACGACCAGGAGAGATCAGCAGATAGAATGACGCCTAGGCATTTAATTTCCGACTTGGTTTCTATTTCAGTGCCATCTATGTTGCATACTTCATGAGAGCAAACCAGTTTGTTTAGGTCGGGATGAGGTGAAAGGAATGAGATGAAGGCCTATGGGTAATGGAAATGTGATGTTGAGGCCTTCTTATTTTCCAATAGGAACCCAAAGGAAATAATAGTAATATACTCTCTGGTTTTCGCTTTATGTTAATAAATGCCTCATCTTATGCCTCTTATTCTTTGCTACTTACTTACTTACTTACTTAAACAAGTTGGTAATCGATAGATAAATCAATTATTACAATAAATACTTTTGTAAGTAGATTTAGACACATTAAATACGTTATTGTGTCAAAATTATATATAATGCAGGAGCAGTGTAGTGAAATTAACAATAAAGTAGAAACGACAGCAGCACATAATACTCCATCATGTTGGATTAAAGATAATGACTATAACAAGAGAAAAGAACAACTATCTCAGAATATTAAAATCATGAACAATTTACAAAACTCTGTTAATATTAATAATTCTGAATACTGTGAATGTGATTGTAGTGGAGTGGAAAAACTGGAATCATCTTTAACCAGTCATGTTGTTGCATTCCCCAATTGTAAACACTATCAAGAAAAGAATGATCATTTGAACTTTGCAAATGAACCTATGGACAGTGATATTTCCAAGCAGAAATATGATGAGGGTAGACCGATTTCTATTCAAATAAATGACCAGGTTCATTTAACAGAAACACGAGATTGTTATGATACAGTCAACAAAATTCCTAATGAAAATTCGACAGGAAGAATTAAAGATGACGAAAACCTTCAAATTTCAAGTGCCGTGTTAAACAGCGTAACCAGCAACATTGACGAAAGTAATAACCTATGCAAATCAGAACAGGACTATACGAATCAATACGATAAGCATGCCAACAAAGCACAGATTGAGAATCATATACAAGGACACCCGAGTAAATTGTGCTCAAGGTCTGACAGTAGCGTAGAACAAACCCAAAATTGCCACCAAGAAACCAACATAAAACCCCCTGAAAACTACAGTGAAAAACAAAACAACACAAGTCCCACAAAAGAAAATAATCAAAGACGCAACCTGAGAACGTATTGTTCAACATTCGGTGGTTGCACGACATACAAAGCAAATTTCCGTGGAATTCCAGAGAAGAGAGTTGAGCCGGTGAAGAAGCCAGACAATCTGAAGGTGTTTGACGGTGCTTTTGAGAATTGTACAAACTATCGGACAGATTATCGTGGAGCGGATGAAGGTCGTCCGAGTCCGATAAAGATGGTGGACAACTTGAAAACGTCTGGTGATCGATTTGACGGTTGTACGATGTACAGAACAGATTTCCGTGGGACTCCAGAGAAGAGAGTTGAGCCAGTGAAGAAGCCAGACAATCTGAAGGTGTTTGACGGTGCTTTTGAGAATTGTACAAACTATCGGACAGATTATCGTGGAGCGGATGAAGGTCGTCCGAGTCCGATAAAGATGGTGGACAACTTGAAAACGTCTGGTGATCGATTTGACGGTTGTACGATGTACAGAACAGATTTCCGTGGGACTCCAGAGAAGAGAGTTGAGCCAGTGAAGAAGCCAGACAATCTGAAGGTGTTTGACGGTGCTTTTGAGAATTGTACAAACTATCGGACAGATTATCGTGGAGCGGATGAAGGTCGTCCGAGTCCGATAAAGATGGTGGACAACTTGAAAACGTCTGGTGATCGATTTGACGGTTGTACGATGTACAGAACAGATTTCCGTGGGACTCCAGAGAAGAGAGTTGAGCCAGTGAAGAAGCCAGACAATCTGAAGGTGTTTGACGGTGCTTTTGAGAATTGTACAAACTATCGGACAGATTATCGTGGAGCGGATGAAGGTCGTCCGAGTCCGATAAAGATGGTGGACAACTTGAAAACGTCTGGTGATCGATTTGACGGTTGTACGATGTACAGAACAGATTTCCGTGGGACTCCAGAGAAGAGAGTTGAGCCAGTGAAGAAGCCAGACAATCTGAAGGTGTTTGACGGTGCTTTTGAGAATTGTACAAACTATCGGACAGATTATCGTGGAGCGGATGAAGGTCGTCCGAGTCCGATAAAGATGGTGGACAACTTGAAAACGTCTGGTGATCGATTTGACAGTTGTACGATGTACAGAACAGATTTCCGTGGGACTCCAGAGAAGAGAGTTGAGCCAGTGAAGAAGCCAGACAATCTGAAGGTGTTTGACGGTGCTTTTGAGAATTGTACAAACTATCGGACAGATTATCGTGGAGCGGATGAAGGTCGTCCGAGTCCGATAAAGATGGTGGACAACTTGAAAACGTCTGGTGATCGATTTGACGGTTGTACGATGTACAGAACAGATTTCCGTGGGACTCCAGAGAAGAGAGTTGAGCCAGTGAAGAAGCCAGACAATCTGAAGGTGTTTGACGGTGCTTTTGAGAATTGTACAAACTATCGGACAGATTATCGTGGAGCGGATGAAGGTCGTCCGAGTCCGATAAAGATGGTGGACAACTTGAAAACGTCTGGTGATCGATTTGACAGTTGTACGATGTACAGAACAGATTTCCGTGGGACTCCAGAGAAGAGAGTTGAGCCAGTGAAGAAGCCAGACAATCTGAAGGTGTTTGACGGTGCTTTTGAGAATTGTACAAACTATCGGACAGATTATCGTGGAGCGGATGAAGGTCGTCCGAGTCCGATAAAGATGGTGGACAACTTGAAAACGTCTGGTGATCGATTTGACGGTTGTACGATGTACAGAACAGATTTCCGTGGGACTCCAGAGAAGAGAGTTGAGCCAGTGAAGAAGCCAGACAATCTGAAGGTGTTTGACGGTGCTTTTGAGAATTGTACAAACTATCGGACAGATTATCGTGGAGCGGATGAAGGTCGTCCGAGTCCGATAAAGATGGTGGACAACTTGAAAACGTCTGGTGATCGATTTGATGGTTGTACGATGTACAGAACAGATTTCCGTGGGACTCCAGAGAAGAGAGTTGAGCCAGTGAAGAAGCCAGACAATCTGAAGGTGTTTGACGGTGCTTTTGAGAATTGTACAAACTATCGGACAGATTATCGTGGAGCGGATGAAGGTCGTCCGAGTCCGATAAAGATGGTGGACAACTTGAAAACGTCTGGTGATCGATTTGATGGTTGTACGATGTACAGAACAGATTTCCGTGGGACTCCAGAGAAGAGAGTTGAGCCAGTGAAGAAGCCAGACAATCTGAAGGTGTTTGACGGTGCTTTTGAGAATTGTACAAACTATCGGACAGATTATCGTGGAGCGGATGAAGGTCGTCCGAGTCCGATAAAGATGGTGGACAACTTGAAAACGTCTGGTGATCGATTTGATGGTTGTACGATGTACAGAACAGATTTCCGTGGGACTCCAGAGAAGAGAGTTGAGCCAGTGAAGAAGCCAGACAATCTGAAGGTGTTTGACGGTGCTTTTGAGAATTGTACAAACTATCGGACAGATTATCGTGGAGCGGATGAAGGTCGTCCGAGTCCGATAAAGATGGTGGACAACTTGAAAACGTCTGGTGATCGATTTGACGGTTGTACGATGTACAGAACAGATTTCCGTGGGACTCCAGAGAAGAGAGTTGAGCCAGTGAGGAAGCCAGACAATCTGAAGGTGTTTGACGGTGCTTTTGAGAATTGTACAAACTATCGGACAGATTATCGTGGAGCGGATGAAGGTCGTCCGAGTCCGATAAAGATGGTGGACAACTTGAAAACGTCTGGTGATCGATTTGATGGTTGTACGATGTACAGAACAGATTTCCGTGGGACTCCAGAGAAGAGAGTTGAGCCGGTGAAGAAGCCAGACAATCTGAAGGTGTTTGACGGTGCTTTTGAGAATTGTACAAACTATCGGACAGATTATCGTGGAGCGGATGAAGGTCGTCCGAGTCCGATAAAGATGGTGGACAACTTGAAAACGTCTGGTGATCGATTTGATGGTTGTACGATGTACAGAACAGATTTCCGTGGGACTCCAGAGAAGAGAGTTGAGCCGGTGAAGAAGCCAGACAATCTGAAGGTGTTTGACGGTGCTTTTGAGAATTGTTCAGACTATCGAAGAGAATATGTCGCAAAAGATATCACACGCGTGTCTCCTATTAAGAAGACGGATAATCTTGTAACATGTAGTGGTCTGTGTGGTTCTGGGTGTGTTGGCTTCAGTGATGGTAATGGCTGTTTAAATGGATTAGCGGATACTTCGCGCAACTCGTCGCTTTGTTGCAGTACATCTGGTGGACCTACGAAAAATCAGTTGTGTCTCGGCGTCGATGATGCATGCTGTTTTGGGAACAGGACAACATATCGTGTTCAATTCCGGAAACCTAGTATGCATAGGCGAAGTCTGCGGAAGCCACGTGACAATTTGTTTGTATGTAGGTGCCGTAGCTGCAACAAAATGCTATGCTCTCCTTGTTCTTGTTCTCAAGTGGATTTCAGGAATGTAAATAGTGTTGATGGATGTTTACTGTCTTTATCAGCATAATTACATGAATTTTAGAAAGCGGAAATCGGCTTATATATCGGAGATATAAACCAGTCTACGCTTATTTCTGTGTCAGTAAAGCTAATTCAAACTGTACTAGATGAATATTGACTGGATTTCTATCTCACAAATATATACGTATCTACTGTATTCCTTTGCTTTATTATTTTTTTCTGTCTATTGTTAAAATAGTAAAAGTCAGAGATTTTTTGCCCAGATTAGGCATTTTCATTTCCCTGGTTTGTAATCAGTTCGCTCAATATTTATTATTAATATTATTATTATTGTATCCTTTAATTCCTACAGGAACATAGGGCTTCAGCCGTGCGTCTCCATTGCGTTCGGTTCTCTGATAGAGTCTTCACCTGGCTCCATGTCTGCCCACACGCTTTCATCTCCTCTAAACATGACCTCCTCCAAGTCACCCCACCCTTGCACTGACGACCAACTCGCCGCTTCCTATTCAGTCGGGTTCCACTCGAGCAATGGCTTGTCTAGTGATGTCACTTGATGGTTTCCTCAGAGTATGGCCAGCCAATCCATCTCCATTTCTTCCTGCCTATTTGTTTCACAATCGGTTCCCGCTCTGTTGGTCCGCTCCCAGAGATCCTTCCTCGTTGCTGATCTTTTCTGACTGGCCATCTGATCTTGAGTATTGGGCGAAGACAACTGTTAATGAAGGTCTGTAGTTTGTTTGAGATGCTCTTTATGACGCGCTGGCCAAGTCTCTGATCCGTATAGTAAGTGGCACTGACTGACTTCACATTAGAGTTGAAAATCCGGATGTTATTTTTGATGCTGAGTGTTGTTGACCTCCACACAGACTTGAGAGTAGTGAAAGCTTGTCTTGCTTTTCCGATTCTTGCTTTGATATCCTCGTCAGTTCCGTCTGCCTGTAGTTGAACCGATGCTTCCCAGGTAGTTAAAGGAGGTTGTTTCTTTCAGGTCCCTCCCATTTATGCTGATTGTTGTCAGTTGTTGTTGTTGCTGTTATTATTATTAATAATATTAGTAATAATGACTATAAAGTATTCATTTCCACCTTAGAGGGAATGCATCGATTTTGCAAGCATGAAAGCCGTTTTACTGCAGATTACATCATTTAAACTCGGAAGGTATCACCTTCTTGAGGTTTCTTTTGTTACTGGATTCGATTTCAGTAATGGGTGTTAATGCGCTAAATATGTCATCAGAACGAGGATTTCTTTGATTTAGTAAAAAAGTAAATTTAGAAGGATTAACTTCACATTAAAAAAAAAACAGGTTTATAGGGCATGTAATACAAATTCTTGGGTAAAAATAAAACATTTAGGCCGTTACTTCTATAAATTTTTGTAATGTTTATGGATGTGTGGAACTTGGGCAGAGAGATAAAGTATACTTCCATATAAAATAAATTTATCTGATATGACTGGATGACATGTCGAGCACAATACATTGCTCATAATCATATTGTGCCATTTGCAGCTGATAAGATTTATCAGTTACATTTGGTGTTGCTGCCTCTATACAATGAAGATCCCATGGCTGGCTGCTTTCGAGAAAGGAGACATACGGAGCTTCTCGCGGGACTTTGAGGCCATCGCGAAGCTGGAGTATGACAGTGTAGAACGGTTAGATGAGTAGGAGACCTGGGAGGTATTGGTTAAACGCTTGGTGGCAGAGTTCAACAGCCCGACGGGCAGACAGCTAGTGATGTAGCAGTTCCGTGCCACGAAGCTGGGACTGGACGGAGACCCGCTAGTGTTGGTGGTGAAGCTGATGAATTTTCTACGTCATGCACTCCTCACATTGGATGAAGAGTTGGAGTCGCAGCTGTCGGCGTCCCAGTTCATTGAGAGTGTCCCAGACCACATTTCTCAACAACTAAAACTGGTTAATGCTAAACACAACCCATAGACATCACTAAGCTAGCGCAGGCGATTAGAAAGCTGTTGAGTACAACGGTAGCATCAACAGAGCCACCGAAATTATGTACACCTTATCTTCAGCGCACCATTTGCACAGATCTTCCGTGTTGTGCTATTTCTGGCCTTCATATTGTGTTTTTTTGTGTGTTCCTTTCACGTCTCCCATGTATCTCCACAACGCTGTATCATTTGCTTTCCCCGACATCAAATCTATATCCATGCTATTTGATGTTTTACGTCGATGAACATCTCTTTTTGCGCTACTGATAAATCTTATTAGTGGCACACGCCATAACAGCACTGTATTCGCATGGCTTCACACTTTTTCTCTCTCACCTTGTAATTCATTGTAATTTTCAATATATCAGGTATAGGCGTTGCGTCATTTCGATTGCACGTGTTTGGTGTTGATTCGATGAACAAATATTCAGTGATTAACCTCTCCCTCTCTTCACCTGACTATATAACATTTTAATACTTTCACTCTGTCTCCCCTTTTGTGTGATCACATGCAAGTGAATGCATTGCAATGGCGGAGTTTTTCTTCCTAGGTCATTTCAATTATCGGGATCAATCATTCTAGCCTTAGCTAAATTCCTATGTTTCAATAACCTAGTTCGATCTGTGTAACTGACCTGGTAATCACTGCATAATATTTGGTAAATTGTATTTATTTTTAAAAATTGGATCTATCGGATTCCTAAGCCGACAAAGTTTGCCTTTGAGTTGGTTGGTTTAAATGTCACTCTAATTCCAGCTTCTGATGTCCCTTCTTTATAAGGCTCTACAGCGGGCAATGAGGAAACAGGCATAAAATGGACTCACACAAAGAACTTGGAGGATCTGGACTTCGCCGATGATATATGCCTGATTTCCCACAAACTGGAAGATATGCAAGTGAAAAGTAACAAGTTGGCAGAAGAAGCATCAAAGATAGGACTCCAGGTGAACATAGAAAAAACAGAGGTGATGAAGATCCCTGGCCAACACCAACAACAACAACAGACAGCAATCAGCATAAATGGAAAAAACCTGAAAGAAACTACCTCCTTTACCTACTTGGGAAGCATTGTTTCAACTACAGGCGGAACTGACGAGGATATCAAAGCAAGGATCGGGAAAGCAAGGCAAGCTTTCATTACTCTGAAGTCTGTGTGGAGGACAACATCATTCAGCGTCAAAAATAAGATCGGGATTTTCAACTCCAATGTGAAGTCAGTACTACTATACGGATCAGAGACTTGGCGTGTCACAAAGAGCACCTCAAACAAGCTACAGACCTTCATTAACAGATGTCTTTGCTCAATACTCAAGATCAGATGGCCGGAAAGGATCAGCAACAAAGATCTCTGGGAGCGAACCAACCAGGAACCCATTGTGAAACAAATAGGCAGGAAAAAATGGAGATGGATTGGCCACACTCTGAGGAAACCAGCAAGTGACATCACTAGACAAGTCCTCGAGTGGAACCCGAAAGGGAAGCGGCGAGTTGGTCGTCCAAGGGTGACCTGGAGGAGATCATGTGAAGAGGAGATGAAAGCATGTGGGCAGACCTGGAGCCAGGTGAAAACTCTATCAGAGAACCGAACGCAATGGAGACGCATGGCTGAAGCCCTATGTTCCTCTAGGAACTAAAGGAAATAATAATAATAATAATAATAATAATAATTGATATAATTACTCAGAAGTGGCTTTAGAAGTGAAAATTAAAAGTTGTAAATTACGTGGTACTCAACGGCAAAAAGATAGAAATTTGATAAGGTTAAAATTGCTATTGACTGAGAATAAAGGTATTTGAGTGTCAATTTAACAAGTGTGAAGAGGGTGTGAAAATGTATAAAAGAAGCATATGAGAGTGATAATAGTGAATTAATTATTAAGGCAAAAGCAAACTAAAAGTGAAATTAGAATGAAAAGAAAAAATCAAAATACATTTTTTATTTACAAGGTACGATTAGTGAAGAGGTTTTGACCAAGGTAGAATAAGAGACTGGACAAACGTTTTCTGTATACAGAGTTCAGGGTTGTATTGATGAACTGCCAGAGCCTCCGCCATACACAAAAGTCGAAACCTGACGGCCTTTGTACCATTTGGCTTCACTTTGTAGATGATCTTGAAAGACGATTCTGGTGGAGCTAGGTGGCCTGAGTTCACCAAATGCTCGAGAATTGAGCTAGTAATTGTCTTACATTGTCCCTTTGCTAACCATGCCGGATAATGTTCAGAGATGCGTTTGGAAAGCGTGCGCTTTGTGCTGCCAATAAAACTAGCTCCACATGAGCAAGTGAATTTATTAACACACTCTGAGGTGGCCCAAAGCGGCAGTTTATCCTTCACACATCCGTTGATCATTTGTCGGCTGTAGAAATTGATACATAGCTCAGCCATAAAGAAAGCTTTCCTCAGTGATCTGCATAAGCGATTCTTCAGGATCTCAGCTGCGGTATCACCTTTAAATTCAACACTCATGAACAGTAGTTTCTTCGGCACCGTCTGTATTCTTCCAGGTTTTTCCCTTGGCTTCATGTTTTTCTCGATAAATCTTGGGGGATTCCATTCTCTATAAGGACTTGTCTGAGTCGCTCCAGTTCCCCAACGATTGTATCGCTTGAACATATCCTCCTTATTCTTGAGGATAAGGAATGGATCAGATTTCTCTTTCTTCTCAAAGGGACCCAGCTATGGAAATTTGTGTACTGACCATTCCATGTTGGTTTCCTGTAGATCGATCTTTGAAGAGAACCATCAGATCTCTTTTCAACAACGAATTTATTATCAAGCTGTACAATCGTATATATTTATGGTTTTTTAAGCAATTATATCCTGTGAGGGAATTAGATCAAAAGTGTGAACACATGAAATAATAGTATGAAATGCAATTAAAATATTTGTGATTATAATCATAGTTAAATGCAAAGTAGCAAAACAATTAATGTCATATGTGGAATAATTCATAAGGTGTATAGATGTTGGAAAGGGGTACATAATTATAGGACTAGTAGGCTAATATAAAACGTTACATAACATGGTGCGAAATTTGATACGATAGAATTCAGTATTGTAAAAACAAAACGAATTATAATTTTAGATATAGATAGAATGACAAGTGGGACAAGCGGAAACAATTCAGAGTGAGAATAGTAATACTAATATTAATCGTAGTAATAAGGGAAAGGTACATAAAATAACTAAATAAACAAAATAACTAAATGCGTATCCCTCTACGGCCAAGGCAGAAGTAGGGATTGTGCATACTTCTTTTGTACACAAAGACCTGTCTGGCTTAAAGTCATGAATTGCCAAGGCCTCAGCTGTCTTTACAAGCCTGTAACGAAGAAAACGCGGCAAGTTAGCATGGATTCGGTAGATGATCTTAAAATCATGGTCAGGGTTATATTTTCAATGCTTACTTTTCTGCTCTTATTTTCTTAATGTGTTCACATACGTTTTTGAATCAAACCTGGTGGGTAGTTAGTTATTCACTATTAATATTTTTATTTATTTGTTTGATTTCATTATTTAAATCTTTTAACTCACTAGTTAGAAGGCACGTGGTCCGACGATACAGACATTTAACAGAAACCTACCTTTACCGATTGTGGGTGTGATGAATTAAAGTCTAAGCAATTTTAATACAAGCAGAGGAGCGAACAAATAGCGTTTCACTTTGATGTATAGATGAAAATTAACTGTATTCTTACACTGTCTTGCGACAGAGTTAATACACGAGTGAGTGAAGTGAGAAGTGTATGAAAATACTTTTCCCATAATTCTTACGACAGTGTTAACTATTTCTGACACCTAAGACTTCTTTCTCAGTTGTTCATCAAAAATTTTCAGGCAACAGCCATATCAGATTGATTTGCAAGCGAATTTAGCAAGGTTTACTGACTAGAGGGCGTCGGTAACACAGTGATTCGGACTCTCACCGACCATGCACATGGTCCGGGGTTCGATTCCCTGCCGACGCACACCCGATATCAACGGTCGGCCTGCAAGATTTGGGCTACCGATATCCATGCTGAAAATTCCGTACTTGTACTGAAAATACGGTGTGTCATCAAGCTGTAATCTGAATAAAAGAATAAGAGGTTATACTTATGAACGCTTCATGTACATACTGAAATTTTGTTTTTCTCCATGCATTTTTATACTTTAAGTGTTTTACTACTATTTATTACCTAGTAATATAACAAATTTGTTGGTTATTTTCTAGAAGTCTTATTTTTTTGTTTTTTTTTAAATTTGTTGTGTTCTCTGAGTTGGTTGATTTAACTGCGAAGCTTTCGTGGTGGCTGAAGATTTTTTTTTAGAAGGACGATGAATGCTTTGCAATCAAATCAACCAGCTCAGAGAACACAACTAATTCAATATCATCCACCTGAGATACAAATCTTGTCCATTATCTGTATTTTATTACAGTGGCTTTTCTGCCGTCTACATTATGCACTATAGACGTTACCTTTTGGCGTTTACTGCCTATTCACTGCTACATATTTCATCCCGCTTTGTTCATCCACGTGTTTTGATCAATGCTTATACTAAATGAGGGCCGAAACTTTGGTTAAAGAAAGATCTACGTTGAATATTCAGTCAGTCGGTAAGTGCTTACTGACATCTGTTGTTTCAAGTGATGCGGTGTTTGAGAGGTAAACCCATTTTTATTTTAGATTTACCGGCGGAAACGGAACTTTTATTCCAGCTTCCCATTATTCTTAGCTCCGAATATAATAAAGTTGGTGTTAACAAAAAAAAATTTAAGTTTGTCTATCTATTTCCTACCCTACGGCTCCGTCTTCTACACATAGTTGAAGCTGTCGGAATTCACCTGAAGAAGCCAAAATTATGCGTTCAGAAGACGAACAAGTTAGTTCAGATGCTTTCCTTACCTTGCTCTTCATTGCATAATCGTAAAAATCTAACAATTTCCCTCTTTCCCCTCACAAGTGTTTTGCAAGTGACTGTTACTTCAGTTCTCTTCAAATGTTTCACTAATCTTCCTAACTTTATCTGATATTCACTTTATTATTATTGTTATTATTATTATGAATATATTTTTATGCATGCCATCACCTACACATGCTTTTGAGATGTAATCTATCGGTATTAATAGCTCGACAATATTCGAAAACCATCACTGTTATCAATACTAATTACTGTCTAAATAATATGTGTATGAATAATTGTGTAGCCAGATAAGGAAGTTATCAAATAGAATATCTTTTGCACTGCCTGTTTGTCTCTGAAATAACTGTCACTTTATCAGAATATAACCTAGTAGATGGTATAATGCAGTGAAGAGATACAGCATCTCTTGAACTTACTGAGATATTTTCCAGTTTATATCTTTCTACCAGTACTTGTTTCCCTCGGAAACATACAGTAATGTAGTGCTAAGATCGTCAGTTATAATGGGTAGGTCAGTAGATAAGATTTTAAAATTTCACCAGCTGGGATGATTCAGACTTCTACTGTGATTGTAGACATTTGTGCAGTTTCATTCTGCTGCTGCTGCTGCATTAACTAAAAAAACAAACAACCATACTCTCATCATCGTTTGTGCTTCTTCTCGCGTTTCTTCTTCGAGCATGTTACTCGGTACATTACTTATATCTATGTCTAAGTAGAAACACGCAACAATGAGTGAATTATGCAAGATTTGAGGATCTCATGTCAAACTTCCATCAGACTTGCATACTGTTCTAAAAAATATACATCTTAATTGCAGGAGTTCCATGTACTATTCGTGCGACAATTTTCGATGACCAGCAAAAGCTATTTAGGTTTCTTGGTCAGCATTCAGTAACGAATTCGCGCAGCGAAAAACTTGGGATACTTTCACAACGATGTTTATACCTTAATAGATTATTCTTCTCTACTGTATGACATTTTACAACTCCTTATATTATTGTTTATTGAAATCAAACTCATCTTATGTCTGCATCAGTACGACCTGATTGGCTTACACTAGTGGTTCATGTGAGTGGCGTCCAGCTATCCACATTAGTGAGCAGTGTACTGCTCTACTTTGGTTATCTTCACTTGGTCAGGCAATCAGTTATATGCTACAACGGCAGAAGGCAAGAGAATTCGGTAACGGAATTATCTATTTGCAACTTGATACACAGATATAGACAAAATACGTCTACTGTATAGCAGAACTACATTTTGCATATATATATATATATATCGTCGGTATAGTTCCCCTTTGTCTTCCTTTCATGTTTTCCATGCTGTTTCTCAAGCATACTTTATTAAATCCATCTCTGCGTCATTCGATATTCTTGACTCTGGTCTACTCTACTATGTACAACTGCATCTGTATTATTACTCATAAATCTTATCAGTAGCACTAGTCACAATATCATAACTTAAATGATCAGTAAGACGTATGTAAGAGACTTTCTCAACTGCATACTTACTGTTCACTAAGCGTCGAAGTAGGTTTAATCAGAGTGAACCAACCCTATAATACCATAAAAATATAAGTAATAGGCTATCGATTTTTTCATTTGGTCGATAATCCTGTAGTCTAGATTTAAAAAATAATAATAAAGCCTTCACCTCACAAAGCAGTGTGTTCACATTTACGTTGTATAAGTAATAAACAGCAACACGTATTAATTACGTTTACTGTCTAATCATTTCTGTTTTGTAACAAGAAGTAACAATGATGCGAAAAGGCTGTCGATGTTGTTGTAAATCAAGAGATACCAATGAAAGATTGTACAATACAACAAGTTATCGAGCATTCTACTGTGGACCAAGTTATAAAAGTAAATTAAGAGATGATTCATTTGAACAGTCTGTTGAACAGAATGTCAGAGACAGTGCACCTAATGATGGGAATACATCAAACTGTCAAAATGCTGGGGAGAGACAATGTTGTAGGCGAGTCAATAGTGCTCAACAACATCATGATCATACGAATACAAATAAAGACTTATCCATGTACACTAGTCGATATCAAAGTGACTACCAGCTTAAGCAAGCCACGCCTCCACGATTGATTAGACCAAAAGATAATCTAGTTGTTGGAAGATTTCAAATGGATGGGACATTTCTAAAATGTTACTGTGCTTCGTGATATTTATGATAGCAAGTAAACAATAAACATGAACAGCTATAATATTTAATGTATACAAAAATATTGACATAGTAATACAACTACAGTTACAGTGAACAATATTTTTGTAGACAGTATCCTCATCTCACTAGTAAATTTCCCCTGAATTATGCTGTCATTATTGCATTTTGAGACAACAGGCTAGTTTTCTATCGTGTTCACTTCCACTTATATCTACCTGAATATAACATTGCAGAGTTTTAAGTTTTCGTTCTATTTTACTTTTGCCTTCCATACTCCTGAGATTCATATCTGTACGATAAGCTAAAAGTATCTCATTCTCAATTAAAATTTGTCAAAAGTGAAATTTTGTGGTATGTTGTTTTTACTGGCGTTCCAGTGTTTTAACCAGTTGAACACCTACACCCATGGGGACATCTTTAAATATGATCTACAACCAAACAACTTTAGTCGTTAACACATGATTTAACTTTCCATGTGATAAAAGTCAAGCGGTGCTAAAGAGTTGTTCTGCACTGACTTCTGTTCTGAAGAATCTGATGACCACTTCACTTACATGAACCACCACATCAATCTTAATAAAGTGAATGCTATCGAAATCGCAGCGTGTTTTCAATTTCCTGGTTCGGTATCTGTCGACTTGAGTCATCTTTAGTATCGAGACGATACCGGTTATACATCAAAGGATGCGTAAATACTGTGAAGCGGTTGCCGCCGTCCTACGCCACCAGCTTAAAACATCGCCGTCAAAAGTGGAAGGTAAGAACAAACACGCTATTTATTGGTATATAGGTGCTTGCATTCAGTCTCCAGTGTTACTTGTTGCAGCATCGTCAATAATAGTGAGGTTAGCCTTAGATTACTGGGTAGCGGGGGAAATGCAATGTATGAGGTTGTGAGTTTCCATTGACTGAGATGGTTAGGATATGTGTTACATACTTCAAGGCCGACTAACAGTCACTGACCTTTGATTTTTGCATGAAGGTAATTAGTGTTTATGGTGGTCAGAAGTACCTGCTTATTCGGATAGTTGTCTGGAAGAATACTTTGGTGTCTGCAAAATATTTAAACCAAAAAAACAGACACAATATCTTAGCATGACGATAAAGTTGTTCTCTTCGTCTGTAAGAGAACTATGAGGTATACACTGGTCAACAAAATTTAAACTCAGGAAGCAGGTGAATAAGTCGGTGTGAAGTTACACTCTCTTATCGAAGGATATTCACTAAGGGAAAACACTTAGGCCTACATGACATATTTGATATTATTCACCTCCTTGCAGAAATAAACATTTCTGCGTGCATTACGGCAAACTGATAAAGGCTAAAGTGCATATATACATAACTTTATGTTCAAACATAATTGTGAAGTGGTATCATCACTGTTCAATGTCCGTTTTAATTCAGTGATTTCACTATTCCACTGATATTTGTACTGTTTTACGCTATCAGTCACGAAATGACGAGAGCTGAGAAACAGGTCTCATGGGATTCCAACTCACAGACTGGACAGTAATAAGTTCTGCTTGAGATAACAAAGAATTCCTGAAGAAGTAGACACTAGAATAGAACACATTTCTAGTGATTTGTGATCCTCAACACCTTGCCTACTGATAAACAACTGCTGTAATATTTAATTAGCGGCTCGTTTGTTCTTCCATATTAGTTTGTTTATTAGATATATCACACAGTGAAACAGTATTATTTACTGGATGACGTTTCGAACAAAATTTATTGTTCATAATCATATCATCAAATTGTAATCACACGACTTCGAAACAATTGATATGATTATGAACAATAAATTTTGTTCGAAACGTCATCCAGTAAATAATACTGTTTCACTGTGTGATATATCTAATAAACAAACTAATATGGCTCGTTTGTTCTGTTTGTTTTTTGTGTTCCACTGCTTCGTTCGTCTCTTGAGAAGCTGCACACCAGAATGGCTTAGTGATAAAGTCTCTGATTGATTCATTTTGTTCAGAGTTGCAGACTAGGGCTGATAAGCATTCAATCTAGGTTGGTCATGCCCTCTTACTGATTAATTCCTAGTGACAAGTAACAGAGTTATACCTTTTCAGTCCTTCTTACTGCTGCTTACTTTTGTCTTTATTGTTTCACCACTTCACTTAAATGACGTAACTATCTCTTTTGTGTGCGATCAAGTTTATATATATATATATATATATAATTATTATTCCCGTAGGTTCCGAGTAGAACATAGGGCTTCAACAATACGTCGCCACTTTGTTCGACATGGTGCTGTCCTTTTCAGCTACGTCCACGATTACCCATAATCTCTCATCTCCTCCGACTCGCGCGGTCTCCTTCATGTCACCCTCGCACTGATGACCCACTCGTCGCTTCCCATTGGGATTCCACTGGAGCCATAGTCTGGCGCAGCAAGTCATTCAACGGCCTCCTCAGTGGCGTATGCCCGAACCATCTCCATTTTCCCTTACATATCTGTTGAGTGGTTGGTTTGTTCCCAACCAGAGTTTGTTCCTGCCAATTCATTCTGGCCGACCGACCGGCCATTTGATCTTGAGTATGCAGCCAGCCAGCCAGCGAAGGTAGCAGCTGTTGATAAAAGTCTACAGTGGCGTGTTGGAAATCCTTTCCGTTACACTCAGTGCAAGTTTCTGACGCGTATAGAAGAACTGACTAACTGACTGACTTCATTGACATTTGTGTTGAAAATCCGAATCTTGTTCTCAATACTGAAGCGGAGTGCAGAAGCTTTCCAAACTGGTTTCAGGTTGATGAAGGCGTGCGTATCTTGCGTTTCTGATTCTGACTGGCTGGTTGGCTGGCTGACTTTGACATCTTCATCCGTCCGGCTGACTGTGGTTGAAACGATGCTTCCTGGCTGGATAAGTGAAGGATGTAGCCTCATTCATATCTTTTCCGTTGATGGTGATTGGTGCTGGTTGTTGTTTTTGTTGCTGTTGGTCGGTTGGTTGATTGGTTATCTTCATCACCTCAATCTTCTTTATGCTCACCTGGATGGCGTCCTGTTTTCGCTGCCTGTCTGCTTCTTAAGTCAGTTTGTTGGTTTTCGCCTGCCTGCAAGTCTTCGAGTTTGTGTGACATTAAACATAAATCACCTATACTCGGAATCCAGATCTTGTAGCGTTTTCTTAACGACGGTCCAGCGTATTCCTGTCTCCTCACTCCCAACGCACAGTCTGACGCATGATCTGGTCCACCACAATTAAGAATATCATCGGTGATATTAGACAGCCAGCCAGCCAGCCAGCTTGTCTTACTCCTGAGTTCACTTCGAACGCCTCGCTGAGTGAGTTTACGATTGTGGGTCACCTGACTGACACATGACAGGCATTGTCATATAGCCATCTGTTGGATGAGGTTGATAAAGACTTTGGGCACTACACACCGTAGTGTTGAAGTAGTTTCCGAGTTACTTCTCAGTCAACGATTTGCTGTCTGCTGAAGGCCTTTTCGAAGTCGATGAAGTTAAGATCCATGTCTACTTGGCGTGGACAAGAGGATTATTCCACGCCAGTCAGTTCTTGCAGAGTGAGGCGTAAGTCATCCTTCTTTGGTAGCTGGAGACAATGTAGCCATCCTTTCTTCTAATTGGTAGGCACCTTTCTTTCCTTCATAACCTTTAGCAACAATGGAGTGAACTCATCTGCCGTAGTCTCTGGGTCGGTTTTCATTGCTTCGGGGGAATTCCGTCTGGTCCTGATGCCTTCCCATATATATATATATATATATCTGCGTTGTTCTTTTTTCTGTAATACTTGCATTTGATATTGTTCATGCGCAAAAGCTATAGTGTATACGATTAAATAAGAAATGCTAACGCCTATTAAGAATTAAAAACCTGTTATGACAAGCAACAATCACAACACAGATAATGCCCAATGAAAAATCTATTAATAAGCAGTCTGTTGTGCAACTGAGTGATGAATAAGTGAAGAAAATAAAAAACAAGTGAAAGATATATCCGAAAAATCTACACATCAGGAAATAAATTTAACACAGCAAGTTCACGAACTTATTAATTAATATCTGTATGCAAAGTTCACTTTTTAATTGTGTGAAATATGCGCCGGACACACATTGTTCACCATCTGAAGACAAGGACAAGCATTATAACAAAATGTTGGGGGTGATATTACCATGCTCGGTTGAAATGTATTTTGACACATTAATGTATTTGTACAACTTCTGCACACTGGGTCTTGTTGATAACCACTACATCCTGAATGACTAGTTGATAAGTCTAAACAGCATACTGGTTGACAATGATTCAATGAACACTTTGTTTGTTGCATTGAACAGTATGGTGGAATTGGTGCAAGTCTAGTTGTTCGAGTCACTTCACATAAACAATCTTTCCTAAATAAATCTATGTAACCACGATAGGCATCTTCTTGTTCTTGTAATTTACTAGTAATACACGCTGGATTTGTTTCATACTGATAGGGGTTTCTCATTAGAAGACCTCCACAATGACATGTTGAACAATTAGAATGACAAGAACGCACATAATTATTACAGTGGTCTAGTGCACGTTTCACATTATCTGAATTTTGACCACAAGAGATGTTTATTCGGCTATTACTTAACCAATTGGATTCTTCATTGTGTGATTCATAACTTTTTGGCATACTATTTATTATTTTATTCAAGATTTTATCTAGTAGAATGCAAGTTAGGCAGTTAGGCAGAACAAGCTTATAGAATTACGAAATCAATAAAGCATCAGATTCAAAAAAAACTATTCATCGATCGACATCATTTCTTATATGTACTCCTCAGAACTGTCAGCCACTTCAGGCATTCAGTTAAATGCGACGAATTCACTTTCTTTCATTTCATGATATAGCGCTGATCCTCACAGTCGACGACAGGGCTAATTATGTGAATAACATTCATTATAATTAAAAACAGTAATAATGCTTCATAACGAAAACGGAAGATACCAAGAGGATCTGGTTTTCTTGTCTTTCTCATGAGCGAAGGAGTACAAGCAGATGGAGCGCTCCATGAAGAGGTGAAGAGGTCAAAGCGTGCAAACAATTATGAACTATCTTCGAAATCCTTCTCAGCAGTCTTGAATTATTATTTTTTAATTTTTTTGAATGAACCTAGTAGGACGGAAGGTCCAAGTTAAGACTGAGAGCCAAGTGAAATAGATCACAGTATTCTGTACCATAAGTTGCATAACTTCTACTGAATCATTGTGATCAATTTAATAGTAATTTAATTATGGATGTTATTTCCTCTTTCATACTACCACAACGTTGATCTTCTTTTAAGCAGCTTCCGAAATCGCTCATGTTCAGCACTCTGAAACTTGTACACGATATGCCTATTACACCTAATAGTACTACATCACCATAGAGTATAAAAGATTAAAGTACTCAGCTGTTTCGCATTGTCTGGATAAGAGGAGGCAGTGTAAGTTTTTGAATTTGGAAAGATGGTTTCATCACCGCCAGCAGTCTATAGCAAACCTGAGATGAATCACTTGAAAAAGGGTATATTTTTCTGCAAAAGATTTACCTTGATAATCGTTTACACCATCTGTTTCTTATACTTCTGCGTTCATCAAGACTGGAAATCTATTCTAACCGATTTTGAAAGATCGTTTTGCCTTAAACCTTGTTGGTTCATTAGTTCACTATTTTGTAAAGAAGAACTAAGCATTTGGTGGCAAATTGATACAATACTAATTCCACTATCTAAACGGGTAGAAAACCTTTGGAATATGCTTTGTCATCAAAGGCCTTGTCAATAGGAGAATTTTCGGGCTGTCTTGTTCATTGAGAAAGCTTGATGTTGATGGATCGTTAACTTGAGTAGGTAACATACTGATCTTGTGACATTTGTGCCTACATGATTTATTTATAAGCGAATGTTTTGAATGAAGGTAAACCGTGTCGTGGGCTGTACACTCTTGTAAATCTTCGATCCTCCCTGCCGACGGGTTTGCATTATTACTGCCATTAAACGAAAATGGCCCGAAATCATAGTGCATGAATTCCTTCAGAAGTGTAGATACGCCTTGCTGAGTGGTGAATTTCAACAAGCATGAGACCTAGGTCAGAGAGGGATTCCTGCCGACTACCTCCAACCATCTAATAAAACCGCATTATCCTTAGATATTCCTTTCACTGACTTAGTGAAATATACATTTCACACCAGAGACTTGAACTCACATCACTTCTGGGCTACTACTTGACGCTGAAGTATGTGCTGCCTCTAAATCCTCCCTGGTTTCCATCCGCTGACTCTAACATCACCCAGTTTTAAGTTGATTCCACAGATCAAGATTTTAAATTATTCCGCTATGCAACGGCACTGCTGCGATAACCATAATCCGAAGCTCATTCATAAGAATCCGCAACCAGACATTGCCTTAGTCAATCTTCAGTGACCAGAGAATGCATTCAGTTCAGTTGTTCAAAACAGGTTACCTGCGACTAAAAACGACCTAAGGGATAATTCGTTTGTGTGGCAGCACAAATCAATGTGATCTTGCATTTCTGAGACAATATCTTAGACAATACCTGAAGGCTACAGGTATGAGTGTACACAATAAGAGCTTCCTACTGAGATGAGAAATAAATCTTGATTAGTCATATTCTGCGCCTTTTTCACTGTTTGTTTTCGAAGCAGTAACAACAACAATAATAATAATAATAACGATATTTTTCATGAAGAAAAACATTTCTTTAAAATCAGCTTGATCTGAACCAGATGAATTACAAAACAAAGTGAATGAGTAGATAGGAATATAGCATAATATATTTTATATACTTATAACTATGAATGCCTATGGGGACAATCAGTTTCAAATATATATTTATTATCAACATATTACAATGAACATACACGGCTGCATGTATCAACAGGAGACGAGAGGAGAAGGGAATGCAGGCGAGAGTAAACAAAACGCAAATTAACCTGTCATCAACCGTCAACAAAAGTAGGATGGGTAAACAAAAAAACAAAACAAAACAATAACAGGTAAACAACTTTCCACTCTCATTATATTTCCTTCCTTCTTCCCTCCCTCTTCGTTTACTTCTTTTATTTATTTATTTATTTTGTTTTGATGCAAGTCATAAATCTTTGTCTTTTGTTTGCTAGTTTATTTTCCTCTTTTAAAAAGCTTTCATTATCTTAATTTTGCTTTGTCATATTCAACTTTCATCCGTTTATAAAAAATAAAAAAATACTATGAATAAGACTACTGTTATCAACAATTCATTTTCCTATTAGCCATATTCATCATCAACATATATATCACACTGTTACATAGCTCATCCATTTCCTCATCATGCGTAATACCAGCTCACCTTGTTGTCTGCCTACCTTCCATGTATATATATATCCCTCTCTTGGGGATATTTTCGCTTATTTTCGATAAATAAATGAATAATTAACATTACTATTCACTTTTCTCATTTATCTTTCTCTGTTAATTTATTACTATTATTATTATTGGGACAGGGGAGTATAGGAGTAAGCACCTGAGCTGTCTATTTGATAAGACCTTCTACATAACTGTTGCGTGTTATTTGGCTGTATGTGCGCGTAATCCACGTGCGCTAGTACGAGTGTGTGTCTGTGAGGTGAGGGGGTCATAACGGGCGGTGTGGAGAGGGGGTCCTGTGACTGTTGCATTTATAGTCATGTAAAAGCATTAAAATGTGTTTATGCCTGCGACTATTATTATTATCCTCGTGGGAACATTTCAAAATACAGGAAATGAAGTTTATTCATCATTTCGCCTTCGTTTTGTTAGAAAAAAAAATAATAATAATAACAAAAACAACAACAATGTAATTGATTGTGCAATTAATTTTTATTTATTTATGAGCAGAATGGTGAAATATGCTGAAAACATAGAGTGGATGACCAGAAGAAAAGCAACAAAAGTAAACATGTCAGAGTGGTCATTTCTTTGTTGTCCTACTATTTTTGCTGATGTTGATTTTAAGCAAATGGAAAGTAAACAAAAACAAAATAATCTTTTATTATTATTATTTTTCTTTTAAAATAACATAATAATCACCATTATCATCATCATCATCGTCAAAATTAACATTAGCAACAAATGTATGAATATGTTGTTCAAAGTTTACATCTTCCATCTCTCAGTTGTATACATGTAAAAATGAATAACCAGAAAGAAAGAAATGCTTAGTTGTAACGAAATGTCCAGGTAGATTGCACCCTCCGTTACACATTCTCTGAAGTAGGCACCTAATAATGCAAGGTGTCCATAGACAGACTAAACAAACTTGAAGAATAAGTGCGCTGTGTAAATCTCCTCACTAAGGAAATCCTAGATATTGATGGAAACTGGCTACTTATATCTAAGTAATGACGGTTTGCATCTGAACTGTGTATCCTTGGTTGTCAGACAGTCGAATTCACTCATACCCATGTCTATACACAGTTATGTACTGATCTGAAGAAATATACGACATTCTGGCTTTTACATTGCGAAATCAGCAGAAAGACAACCGATTCATGCTAGAACTGCTGTACTCAAATTCGAAAATAACATTTAAATTATGAATGAATCTGGAACATTCAAATACCATAGTGATAGCTTACTGCGAATTCGTTTTCTGAAAATTGCATGTTTTTGGCTGCTTTCATTTTCGGGCATTATAACTGTTATCCGTTTGGGTTCCAAGTGCAACATAAGGCTTCAACAGAACATCTTCAGTTTGTCCTGTTCTCTACAGTCCGCCACAGCTACCTCCAAGCTCATTCATATTCCCTCATCTCCTCCCCACCAAACCATCTCCTCCATGTCACCCACGGACAACAACTCGTTACTCACTAGGATCCCAGGCAGGAGTATGCCTGTCACGTGATCTCACTTAATGGTTCCCCCGAGCATGTGTCCACTCCATCTCTATTCCCTTCAGCATATTTCATCAGCAGTATGTGCTTGATCGATTCGTTGGTAGAGATCCCTGCTGCTTACTGCTTATAGACGTTTGACCTGCACCAAAGAAAAAGGGCTGCTGTAGATGAAAGTCTGCATTAACCTGTTCGAAATGCTTCTCATGACACACAAACACACGTCAAGTCTCTGACCCACATAGAAGAACTGACCAACTTTACATTACCCCTGAAAATACGAATCTTGTTCTTTATGCTGAGTCAGTGCAGAAGAGTTTCCAAATGACTTCAGAGTGATCAAGGTGTCTCCTGCCTTCCCCATCCTCACTGGTTTCCACATACTCATCCGTGTGGAGAGCTTGTAGTTGGAACGATGCTCTCTGGATAAATGAAGAAAGTAGTCTCTTCAAATTGCTTCCGTCTTCAGTGATTGGTGCTGGTTGTTGTCACTGTTGGTTGGTCATCAGTTGGTTATCATCATCATCTCTGTCTTCTCTGTGTTCACCTGAAGTCCCGTCTTTGCTGCCTGTCTATAAGCAGTAGGCAGCAGGGATCTCTACCAACGAATCGATCAAGCACATACTGCTGATGAAATATGCTGAAGGGAATAGATATGGAGTGGACACATGCTCGGGGGAACCATTAAATGAGATCACGTGACAGGCATACTCCTGCCTGGGATCCTAGTGAGTAACGAGTTGTTGTCCATGGGTAACATGGAGGAGATGGTTTGGTGGGG